GGGTCCATTTTTGACTAAATGTCATGTAGACAGTAAATTTTTGACAAAATTTTATTACAAAAGATTAAGTTGTATTTAATGAAAATCAATTGAAATCTTTAAATCTTTTGCAAAACTTGGCGATATATTGTATACAAACCCCAAACTGACAACAGTTGTAGGTTCCAAAATTCACCCCAACTTGTTAACAGAAATTTAATTGAATTATTTATCCTATGTATTATTATTTATTTATTATTATTTATGCATTTTTACTCACATAAAAATCAATTTACAATATAAATATTTATAATTTCGCTTTTAATATAAATAAAATTTTGCATAAAATTTTAAAATTTTTTTTCATAATTCACTTCACGTTTTCCGATTTTAAGGTTAAAATATGAATATGGATGTTGTTTGTTGGCAATTGTTGTTGGTGTGATTTTTTAAATATATTTATTTTTTGCCATTTTAATAACCATGATCCAATAAAACCAACACCTCTGTTTTTTTTTTGGTGTCTTTACATTTTTTTCTTTGCTTTAGACTTTTGATGTCTGTCTGTCTTTCTAGCTGGCTGTCAGTATGTCTGTCTCTGAGACTCTGCTGTGGCTGCGATATATTTGCATTGCGGTTTTTCATAAAAAAGACTAGTATTTGCACTGTTAATATGGATTTGTGATAATTTTGTTTAAAGGTTTAAATGGGATTTATTTAAAAGTATGTTTATATGCTTAAATTACAACAAACACATTTATGCATATTTTATGCACAATTTGCCACTCTTTCCCGTCTGGTGACTATCAGTTATAGGTCAAGGATTCAAGTTGAGTTGTAGGAAAAAGATGTATGTTTAAATTTTATAGATGCACAATGTCAGTAGGTGTTGCCAATTTGGCTGTTTATCTTTAAATTAAGAGGGGAATTTTTATGCAATTTTTTAAAACAGGAGATTTTTATAAGATTATGATATTAATAACCCTTAAGTATAGTGTTGAAGAAGATTGTGCCGGCCAATTGTTGGTGACAACTTATCTTAGACCAACTTTGATGTCAAGAAAGGTTGCTTAGGTTTCGAAAAATACTGTAACTTTTTTATATCCAGCATCAAAAAGAAGGGGGGTATATTGTTTTTGTCACATCGAAATATTGGTCATAGACCCACAAAAGTACATATGTATATATATTCTGGGTACTTATATGATTTCAAGACGATCTAGCCATGTCCGTTCGTCTGTCTGTTAAAAACACGATAGAGTCCGACCGGAAAGAGCTAGAGGGTTAAAATTGTACACAAATATTCCAAATATAGGTAAGGTTAGTTTGATATTGATAATGGACAATATTGTTCCACGTTTTCGCATAGCCCCCATACAAGTGGGCCCCCGAAAAACAGCTTTAACAGTCATAACTGTTTAAAAATAGGAGTATAACAATGAAATTCGGTACAAATAAGTTTCATATGAGACAGAAGCTCTCTACCAAATTTTATGGATATCGGTCCATAATTGACCCTACCACCATAGAAATTCCCCTTCAGAAAATGACGTTAACGCCCATTACAAAAATACGAGTTTTGCGATAAAATTAGACATAGTTTTAAGTTTCCTACGAGCTAAGATCTCTGTACTTTATTTTATGTGGATCGGTCCATAATTGGTCCTACACTCCATATAAGGTCCCCTTCAGAAAATGACTTTATCGCTCATAACTGGATAAAAAGTACGAGCACAGCGATGAAATTCGTCATAAGAAAGTTTCTTACGAGTAAAAATCTTGACGATCGGACCATAATTGACCTTACCCCCATACATATAAGGTCCATTTCAAATATCATCCTGATATTTATAGGGGAATATTCCTTTTACGGCACACGGTTTGATGGTGGGTATATAAGATTCGGCATAGCCGAATATAACACTCTTACTTGTTATAAATCGACTTTTTGTCGAAAAGTCGAAATCGACAATCCTATATTATAGGCTTTATAAATAATTCGGAAAAAATTAAGAAAAGTCTGAGAAATTCGATTTAACATAAACATTGATAAAAATCTAAAAGTGATTAAATTCGACAAAAGTCAAAAATAATCGGGAAGTCGGAAAATGTCGAAAAGTTTTAATTTAAAAAGTTCGAAAAGTCAACAATTTCAACTACATATATGTAGAACCCTTTTCTGAACTAATGTGACTCTTAAAATATCGAACATAAAATTTAAAGTTGTTTAAAATGTCGTGGAAAGTTGTCTTCATTTGAATGGGCTAAGTGAGATCGCCTTTTCTTAATTCAAGGTCAAGTGTAGTCTATTGTTTTAAATCACCAAAATGTAATTAATGATCGAAATAATTTATTAATTTAATTATAAATAGACCTTCGTTACAATGAATGAACGTCTTTCATCAAGAACACAACCATTTGTGAATGATGCATTCTTCAGCTGTACAGTATATACAGTGGGCAAAATATTTGAAAAAGTTTCCATTGTTTTGTCGACCACTGTATGTATAACAGACGTTCTACAGAAGTCGATGTAAGAATATATAAATCAAATATCTATACCGCTACTATTTTACTAGTTCCAATGCATCTGAGTGCCGATCCAAGTCAATTTTTTTGTTTTTCCAAATGGTTTTTATATTATCTCTTCAGAACTGTAAACAATTTTAACATGATCCGGAAAGAAAAGTTAATACAAAAATACGACAAATAAGAATTTACTCATTTAAGGGGAAAAAGCACTCCTGAGACTTAACCAAAATTAGTCAATTAAGAAATGGGTTGGTTCTCATCGCATTTCTCGGCATCTGTTAAGGTTTAGTCACCAAGACCTATATATGGATTTTAGGTTAAAATATCTCTAAAAAAAGACGAATATATAAAGGGTAAACCTTTATTTTAAAGTTGACAGATTGGACTAACAGATGTCGAAACATATTTTATAAATGAAGATGTCATCGTGCTATTATAACGTCTCAAGTATATGACCAAAAATGGGGCTTTTTAAAATTAAGGATATCCCTGATATGATAAAGAAATTTTGAGACCAGATTGCGATTCATTAGCCTCTGGATTTGCTGGGTTGTGTTTTTAACCGAGCAGTCGAATTTAACTATTTTTGAACGATTTATATTGACAATAAACTGATTTTCTAGAAGGATCAATTATAGACCGATACGAATAATCCTTGATTATGTTAAATTTTAACGTTATATCGTTATTTCTATGTCAATTTTGTACGTTAAAGTAATTTTTATGATGGGATACTTATATGGGCTCTAGGGTTATCGGCTGTTCGCTATATAACTTGTGGGTGCTTATAAGTACAATATCTAAACGTAATCAAGATATCTATAGGTGAAATGTCACGATATTGCTGATATGATGAAGAAAATCTGAGACCAGAGAAGTGTTAATTTGGGCACCGTAATATTACGTTTGGTTCATCCCACAGCGCCAGTTCTGCTTACCAAAAGTGGCCCACTGGGCATATTATATCACAACCACAACCTTCATACCAAGAAAGGTGAGGTTCTTACCCATTTAAAGTTTGAGAATAGGTTAAGATCGTTTCGACCCTAAGGCCTCTAATCATTCGCTTTACCAGATAAGATTATTTTACATAATTTTTAAATGCACCAGCTATCCTGAGGGAAACTTCGGAGGGAACCAGCTACTAGATGGTTCGATTGGTCTTTCATTAGCCTCTAGGTTTGTTGGCCTGTGTTTTGGACCGAGCAGTCGAGAATTTAATGTTTATAACATTATTTTTGAATGATTTATTGACAATAAACTGATTTTCTAGATGAGTCAATTATAGACCGATAAGAATAATCCTTGATTATGTACGTTAAAGTAAATTTTATGACGGGATCCTTATATGGGGTCTAGAGTCATCAGATGTTCGCTACTTATTACAGTATAACTTGTGACTGCTAAAAAGTACATTGTCTAAACGTAATCAAGATATCTATAAGTGAAATCGTGAACCGATTTTCCGAATTTTCAATGCAAAACAAACCTTAGCCCTACCTCCCTAGGGTTTTAAGAAAATCTGAGACCAGAAAAGTGTTAATTTGGGCACCGTAACATTACGTTTGGTTCATCCCACAGCGCCAGTTCTGCATACCAAAAGTGGCCAACTGGGCATTATATTATATCACAACCATAACCTTCATACCAAGAAAGGTGAGGTTCTTACCCATTTAAAGTTTAAGAATAGGTTAAGATCGTTTCGACCCTAAGGCCTCTAATCATTCGCTTTACCAGATAAGATTATTTTACATAATCTATCCTCAGCTATCCTGAGGGAAACTTCGGAGGGAACCAGCTACTAGATGGTTCGATTGGTCTTTCATTAGCCTCTAGGTTTGTAGCCCTGTGTTTTGGACCGAGCAGTCGAATTTAATGTTTATAACATTATTTTGAATGATTTATTAACAATAAACTGATTTTCTAGATGAGTCAATTATAGACCGATAAGAATAATCCTTGATTATGTACGTTAAAGTAAATTTTATGACGGGATCCTTATATGGGGTCTAGAGTCATCAGATGTTCGCTACTTATTACAGTATAACTTGTGACTGCTTAAAAGTGCATTGTCAAAACGTAATCAAGATACCTATAGGTGAAATCGTGGACCGATAGTGTAAATTTTCAAAGCAAAACAAACCTTAGCCTTACCTCCCTAGGGTTTAATGGTGAACATAGAGACATAAGGTCATAACTTTTTTGGATCTATGACCAATATTTTACAAAATCAATACTAAAGGTAGGTATAAAAAGAAAATATCTATTTTCTCTTTTTAGAGGAATTTCAAAACTTCTATTATTTTAATGAAATATTTTACAAAATTCACATTACTAATCCAATCCGTACTCCGCTCCAAATTTCATTTAATTTCTATTTATAAAAATTTCAATATTTTTTTAATCCCCATTCATAATTAAACTGTTTATTTTGTTAAAAATCATTGTAGCGATTTTTCTTTCTTTTTTTTTAACAATTAACAACTCACCTTTCCATTAACAGCTGTCATTTTGTATTGATTTATTTGATTATGAACTCTGAAGTTTTTGTTAGAGAAAAATCTTATTTAGACACAGAAACACCAAGATACGCAAAATATTAAATAATTATTTAAATAATTAACACTTTGTTGTTATTTGCTATTCAAAAATTTTTGATAATTTTTTTTTTTTGCTATTTTATTTGTCACTAGCTGTATAATGAGTAGTAATCCTTTTTTTTGTTAATTTAGCACACTTTTTTCTTATTCCCAAATCTGTTTCTGTATTAAATTTTTTTGCTAACACTTTTTTTTGTTGTTTTTTTTTTCGATTTCTTGTTTATATTTATATAAATTATTTTCGTTTAATTGTGCAAATAATATTTTGTTGTTTACTGTTTGAATTCTGTTACGCTACTGTCAATAAAATACGTTGACAAATTCACTTTTATATAAAACAAAAACAAGACGACGACGCCAATAACCAGCAGACACCCGCCCCTCCACAAGAGCTCTGCTAGATCGAGCTATCGATTTCAATTTCGCATATTATTCTGTAGCATCAGCCGCTCTTTAGTGTCTTCGTTTTAACTATAATAACAAGTTCATTATTATCATCATCTTCATCATTATTATTAAACATTTCAGCAGTAGCTGCTGTGTGTACTCAAGCTCGTAAGTACGTTTTCGCTGCTGCTGCTGCAGAAGCTATCGCTTGTTGTTTTTCGCTTAATGTTGGTTGGATATGTATCGTGTATCGATGCGAATCGTTTTGCCATCACTAGCAACAACAACAACAACAACTTAACTACATCACCCAACCTCCAAGCATTTACCACAGACAAACTAGTTTTAATTATCAGAACTTTAAAAAGCCCGTTTTAAAAAACAAACTTCTCTTCTCCAACCGTGTTTTTTTTTACAATTTAACCAAATTCAAAATCATTACCAAACATTCTCAGATTCATCATCATCATCTTCAACTTGAAACACACAAAAATCAATGAGTTTCCAATTTTGTATCAAAACTTAAGTTGTAGTTCTTTTTAAATATTTTCAAATGTGTGCAAAAAAACTCATTCATTTCAATGACATTTTTTTTTCAGAAATTATTAATAATATAAAAAATTATGCGTAAATGCGGTTTTATGTTTGATGAGTATTTAGTTTTTTCTGCCATTTAAATTTATTTTTCTTGTAATTTATTAAATTTTCAATTTAATGTTTTTTTCCCATAATTTATGCTTTTTGTTGGATTTGTTATAATTTGTAATATAGTAGAGGTTTTGAGCAGTTTTAATTGTATTAAATGACATTTTTGGAGGTCAAATACACAATAAGAATCATATTGCTCATTTACTACAAGACTGGCATAATCCAAAATTCGGGGTTTTTGAACTGATTGCTACAAAAGTTGCGCCATATTAAAGTCTTTCATATAGTTTTATCAAATTTCAAATGTCTTCTCGGTGCGTGATGATCGAATCTATCCTCGGCCGTACCTTGTAATGATTTGACAAGAGGTCGAAACAGAGAACCACATAATCTGGTAACACGGGAACCGGTTGCCCGCAGAACAGAGTTTCGGACTTTGTCTTGTACCGGTTATTGGAAAGGTCCCTTCGGGGTGCACGTAGTATGGTATATATGTAGTATAGACCCAAATTCGAGGGAAAAGAATGTCGGTTAAAAGACTAATGTATGGTAAAGTCTTTAATTCGGGACAAGTTCGGTGCTGTTGCCGAAATAACAGATACCTCACAGAGGAGTGACTCTGAGACGAAGTGTTGGAAATGAGTTGGTGTAAGTGTATACAATACAGGATGAATGTAAACTTAGAAGGAGTGGATCGGATATTGTTCTCTCGAAAGTTAAGCAACGGGGCAGCAATGGTCAGAGATTAGATACCACGAGTCCATGAGCAAAGTGCTTGTACATGGACCGGCAGAAGCATGTGCAGGTGTTCACGTAAAGCACTTTCACATCTTGTTAACTTTTTGGATGTATGCGTGGATAAGTCTACGGTAATGCTGCTTAAAGGAAGATTGTCGCATTAAAGACCTCAGGTCGTATATCAGGGAATTTTGATGAGTGAGAAGATAAATTTTCTTTGGCATTTGGAAGATCGTTGCTATTGTACGATGTGTCCGGCGAATCTTGAGGAGTTAGTAGAGTCCTAGTGGACGAATTGCACGCTCTATATACGAGCGGCTGTTTTTTTGCTTGTACAACATTCTGTGCCTCTATGTCACCCCCGGGGCATGTTACCTTGATGAAAGACCCCATTTTAATGTGATTGCAATTCCGGGGTAAAGAGGTACTACCGGTGCCTCTAGTCTGCTGGGACCATAAACTGGTGATGTCAATTCCATCCTTAGACTTTCCTTGGAATGATTTGACATGGGGTCGAACCAGAGGACCACATAATCCGATACTACGGGTGGCCAGTTGCCCGCAGGACTTGTCCTGGCTGGTCAGTTGGTTGAGGTTCCTTCGCGATCTACGTAGTGGCTGTGGTTTAAACCCATATTCGCAAGAAGAGAAAGTGGTGGTTAAAAGGATAAGTTCGGTGCAGTTGCCGAATGTCAAACGATATACCCCACAGAGAAGTGACTGTGGGACTAAGCTTTGGATATGAGTTGGTGTTAAATGTATATGATACAGGATGAATGTAGGGGTGTACGGATCTCATCCGCTCTATGTTGTTCTCTTATGAGTCTGTCGTAGTAATGAGATGTGTTGGTTGAATGGTGATGAATGAAAGGTATCTTATACAAGTGATACCATTGAATTTTCCTTCCTTGTCCAGGTATTTTCAGAGTAAACCCGGTCCGTACCAGATTTACAACAGTCAACTCTGTGAGTAAGAACAACGTTCCAGCTTATTTGATGGATTCGTACTTCGGTCTACTGGTAACATCTCTAGGTGCTTGTTATAACAATCCCAGGGAATAAATGTGCATGACTAGAGGTCAGCAGACTCCTTCTGTTAGGAATAAGTTGATATCAGTCAGTCCCCACTCCCCTCATATATCCTTACGAATGTGCGGGACAAATGTTCTTATGAATGTATCGGACCAAAGGCCTGTGTGATGGATGTACAGAACTCCATTCTTTGTGTTATTGATAATGTTCCCTTATTTGTCTGATAATGTTTCGGTGTTTACTCTGTCCATACCGGAGCTATCGCAGCACGTCTCCTGTGTGTAAAGAAGTTATGTTTTCGCTTATTGATATAGATCAAACTTCAGTCTACAAAGTACGTCTCTATGTGCTATTGAGGCCACCCCAAGAGTGTGGTTGTGTTTGTTTTCGAGGATGACTTCAGATTCGGTCTGAAATAGTCGGATTATCGTCAATTGGACTCCTGTGTTCAGGGAGCAAGTCACAAAGGGCGGTAATAAGTCGTTCTTGCTCACCCTGTTCTTAAAAAAAATCATCGTAAGTTTAACCGTTAAGTTAGTTCTGCTGAGGGGTATCGTAAGATTCTAACGTGTGAGAGGGCAGTTCTTGTAGGTTGTATTCTGTTGTATCCTACGGTCTCTACGCAAGCTATACAGTTGTTTGCGGGAGCCCTTTCCCTTAATGTGTATCGATGTGGATGAACTGTTTATTGCAGTTGGGAAGGTTGAGTGTACATGACGATATTCGGCTTTCAATAGAAGTTGGAGTTGGCTGGTGATAGTGTTTTCTGCGATCCAACTGATAGAAGTTTCAAGTACGAAGTATATTCAGACTAGAAGTAGAGTGTAAGCTTATTGTGGAGTTGCTTTGCAACCGAATACCTTGACTGCATTTATGAGTGGAAGAAATAAAGCACATCGGACTTATATTATCATTTTGTCAAATTCAAATATGTACATATTGGGATATATAATGAAAACCGCCACAATACTCTCAAAAAAGCTAAATTGTTAACGTTGATTCAGAAAATCCTATTAAAATTATTGCAGATTCATGTAAGTATTTAAATTACATTTTGAATTGATTAATTCCAACTGAAACTGACCAATCTGAATTAAACGAGATTAATACTGTACATTTTACTGATTACAATCAATAAACATCAACAAGATGGAATTGAATGTCAATAACAAATTAATATGAAAATATAGTTGGGCATGTCAGATCACATACATAAATATTTAAGATATATGAGTCTTTGTTCATATCGATATGATTCGATATTTGCTTCATATATGTACAATGTACAGTGTACATACATACATATGTATAAATTTGTTTATCTTGTTGTTGAATTGCATACCTATAATATTATAATTAATAGCCTATGACCCTACCAATTATGAGGATTGGTTCATATTTTCTAACATGAACCGATGAGAAAACATCTATCGAAAAATTCCATAAAATTATTTTGTTAATTATTTTTATTAATAAAGAAAATTTTCTAAAATTAACACTATTTATCAGACTTCGTCACCTAAAATAAGATGCTATTTAAATATAAACTATATGACTAATTAGATTGTCATAAATCAGTTATAATTCTAACATCTATTACGATATATCTCAGTTCCATTATTAACACTTCTTTGTAAGATTAGACAAATATCATAATTTACTTAATAAATTTAATTAAAATTAGATTATTATTTAGTATATAATGTATATTTTTTCTATAAACAAAGAAGATTGTGACGTTAATATTTCTGTCATAATACATGTTAAGTCTTTTATCTCACGACACGAGTAAACAAATTAATCCAACGGAAATCTTTTAATTATCATCTTAATTTCTTAATTTTAAAAACCTTTTTATTTTAATTGATATTGTTTGTGTTTAGAATAACAGGATTTATGATTTGTGATAAAATCTGAGAACAACTTTTTAAATTAAATGTGATGCTTTTGATGTTAAACTCTTTTAAATATAAAAATGTTTGGCGATGTTTGGTTTATAGATAGATAGATAGATAGATAGATAGATAGATAGATAGATATAGATAGATAGATAGATAGATCGATAGATAGATAGATCGATCTAGATAGCTATATAGATAGATAGATATCGCTCGCTAGCTCGCTCGCTCGCTCGCTCGATAGATCGATGCTCGATCTCTCGCTCGCTAGCTCGCTCGTCGCTCGCTCGCTCGCTCGCTCGCTCGCTCGCTCGCTCGCTCGCTCGCTCTCTCGCTCGCTCGCTCGCTCGCTCGCTCGCTCGCTCGCTCGCTCGCTCTCTCGCTCGCTCGCTCGCTCGCTCGCTCGCTGCTCTCGCTCGCTCGCTCGCTCGCTCGCTCGCTCGCTCGCTCGCTCGCTCGCTCGCCTCGCTCGCTCGCTCGCTCGCTCGCTCTCTCGCTCGCTCGCTCGCTCGCTCGCTCGCTCGCTCGCCTGCCTTCTCTTGTCCTCCTTTCCTCTTCCCTTCCCTCGCCGCTCTCTCTTGTTGTCCCCGTTTCCTCTCTCT